GCAAAATGGGTGGTAGGGTTTCACTAACAGCTAATGAATCAAACATTTTTGTTTCCTTGCTGAGAAATTATGTTTAAGAGGAGAAAAAATTGAAGTTTCTTACACTTGTATTTTCTTAGCAACCAAACAGAACCTTAAGCTCATGCTCCAGAATGCAACTAAAACTAAAAGAAACACATGAAAATGATGCATAGTACAATTTTTTTATTGGCAAGTAAAAGATCAGAAGCTTGTCTATTGCTGATTAATAAAATTATTTCAATTATCAAAAAAAAAGTAAAAGATCAGAAGCACAACACTTCAAAATTTCCCCTGGTCTTACTTGGATGCCAAAAAGTAAAATAAACTCTAGATGCAGGATAATAAAAGGTGAGGAAACATACTTTACATTCAAAAAAAAACTGCAGGACTTGACTGTCCTACTCAAATTAGATTTTGTGAAATACCACAACACTTGAAAAAAGTGAAATAAACCATATTCTCCAAGTACAGACAGTTTGACATCTTACTTAGTCGAAGACGTAAAAATATTAGTAAACTGGTCGCTGATTATGATTTCCAGCAACTAGGTAGTTAAATAAGACCACAAGAATCTAAATTACAAAAAGAAGAATCCACAAAATGAACTAAATTGGGACAAAAGTAGATGATAGAAGACAGGACAATATGCAGAGCATTTCTTTTTTTTTTTTATATCGTCTGAAGGGCTACACAACAGGGGGTAGCCCATCGGCCCCATCCCCCAACCCAGGTGCAGGTGAGATTCGACCCCAAGTCTCCGCTATGACCAACAAGAGACCTTACCAACCAGCTGATTGGCACATTGCAATATGCAGGCCATTTCTCTTTCCCCATCTATTTAAATCTTTGGTGATACAAAAAATGGGGACAACCAAGTTAACACAATAAGAAAGGGATGCAACCATGGAGGACCGCTGCAATTAATCATCATTGCCTCTTGACGCTCAAGGGACAACACTCTGAAATCCATAAGATCAATGGAATCTAGTCATCCTAAAGTCCCACTTACAATAGTACAGCATAAGGTCATGGCATTACAAATCTATCAAATGCATGCCATTCTTGCAAAAGATAGGTAACAACTTACATGAAGGTTGTGTCACCAATCGTGTATTTCCAGCACCAGAAAAAGCATCCTCTTCCTCCTTAAGACATTCTTCGTCTTCTTCTTCTTCCGTTACCTTGGATGCATGGCGACCCCTGATAAATCCAATGAAAAAGCAAAAAAAAAAATCAAAATTTAAAATAAAACATGTTTGTAATATAAAATGCCACCACTGTACTCTTATCCTTTTAAACAGCTTTGCTGAGACAAATAGTAAAGATATACTATAAAAAAGGCATATTGCCTAACACTTATAAACTCATTTGATTACTTGATAAAATCTAGCCTACAAAAAAATGATGGTAATCTTGCCTAAAATATTTTGCTTGATGATTTTGTTTGTTCCTCAGCGATGTAGTCCTTTTTTTCTTCAGTCAAAAATCAAGCCATTAAATCAACCCATTAAAAGAGGGAAACTGTTTATGATGCAACTACAAAAAAAAAGTAATAGTAATAATTCATAGAAGCCAATAATGTGTTTATATATGCAAGCTTCAAATGTAAATCAAGGTAATTAGTTTTGATGCTTGCCTTATTCCTCCCTCATCCTGCAAGACAACAATCTATCATTTTGTTAAGTTATTTTGTGGTGTAATTCAAAACATCTATCTCTAACTTGCATTTTCCATTTATAGTTATTTCAAGTTAGGGTGTTATACTCCATTTTCCTGTCACTGAGGACTTAGTACAGATCTAACTTTTGGCATTTTGTGAAGTACTCTATTAAATTTATATGTTTCATTGTTCTGTTCCAAGTTCTAACCTTTTTTTTCTTTTTTAAATGAAGTTTCTTTATTTTTGTTTTTGAAATTTTCTTTTTTGTCACACAACATTCAAAATACGGTTATATTGCCTTGTCAACTGTAACTTTGTTGGTTTTCTTATTTTAAGTATTTTAGGATTTACTGATTCTTTGGTTGATCAAATGTTCTGGTAATTTGACTCATTGTTTGCTTTATTCTTCCATCTTTTATATTTTCTCTTTTTTCCTTCCATGTTATAGGTTAAGTAAGACTGTAAGTTAAAGCATTTATGCTTCTTCACCAATCACCGTGCCATAATATAATTGAATTACATGTCTAAGCACCAGAACTTCCTTGCACAACTGTTATTGATAACCTCGGTTTGTTTCTACTTCCTACCAACAATAATGTCATAAGCTTTACAAGAACCATACCTTCCCCTCGGTTTCTTTTGAGATGCAGATTGATTTCCTTTGGCAAAATGTGCAAATATCTCTGTCTGCTGTAGTAAATACTTCAAACGGCCTTTTCCTTTGTTGTTCTGGTCAAAAAACATCCATAATTTTTTATACCTATCTAGTAAAAGGACCAAACAAAAAGCAGCAATATGTTTATTATCCGGTGAATTACAAACCATGTCCGCATCAATAGCAGCATTTTGAGCATCCAATATTTCCTGGACTTTTTCCTTCTTCAGCCTTTGCAGTTCTCTCAACCTGGCCCTTTCACGCTGTCCAACTTCAGCACTAGCCGAAGTGTTTCCAGCCTGTGGCAATACAATAAAAACGATATAATCGGCAAAAGAAAACACTCCATAAGGCGCAAACACGAACAACCAATTAGTAGCTTAAAAAAATAAATGAATCTAACAGGCAGGACCCAACAAGCCTGAGCTACTTTTTTAATGCAATGCACGAAACAGAGATGAAATTTGCAGAAATGCACTGGAACAATATTAAATAATACATCGAACATACTAAGCAGTTGGTAACATGGATAATAAGCAAGTAAAAGAGGGAAAAGATAACAGTCCCTTAAAACAAATATCAAAAAAAAAGCATGCTAAGCAACGAAACCCATCAAATGGGGTGAGGAAAGACAAGGAGAAAATCCCCCTTCACCAATGCAACGACCCAAACCCTAGACACACAGCCCCCTGATACCGTATAAAGGAGAAAAATGGTATAGACCATAACACATACCATAATATTTGACTTGTCAAGACAACAAAAAAGAGGCTGCAGATCCAAACAACACATCCAAATTCGCAACCTTACCTCATCATCCTCATCCTCGTCCTCTTCGCTCTTCGCATCACCTCCGACCTCATTTTCGGTCTCTGAATTGTCCTCCCCTGCTTCGTCGTCGTCAGAGCCAGTCGTCCTCCCGACGGACTCGAGCTCTTCCTCGTCCTCTACGTTGATCTCTTCGTCCTTCTGCTCTTCCTCCGAAGAGACTGAAACATTCGACGGGGCTTCGTCGGAGGAGGCCTCGGAATTGGAGATCTTCGCCATCGATTCTCGGATCAAGGGTTTCGTGGATCGGACTCAGGCGGCGAAGGAGTCGAAATGGAAAACAGAGAAGAATGGGTACCGGAAGGAAGCGGAGTACCTAAAAACTACTTTTGGTCAAGCAAATGTAAATATATTGAAAATGGCGGGGTAATGTTTATATGTGTTTGAGAGAAATATGGTTTTCTCGGGCGTTGCCAGGCGAAATTTCCCGCCAATTATTCGGCGACGACGATAATTTCCCGCCCAGCACCAGTAACCATTGTTCTGCTTAGGGGTGTACAGTTCGGTTCAGTTCGAACCGAAGACCTAACCGAGTATTCGGTTTTGAGGCTTTGAGCATTTCTCTCAATTTAATCGAATCAAATTAGAGTTTTGAGCCAAACCAATCCTAATCGAATTCAGTTTGGTTTGATTCTATTTTTTGTTCCATTTTAATAACTAATGAATAATTAACTATTAATCTTTGGTATAAGTTTTAATAATTAGTCTAGGTTTTAATGAAGAAACGATGCAACTATACTCATTTAATAAATAATTGAATGACTAATTATTAAAATAATTATACCCATTCCTTATAAACAATTAATAAATAATTAATAATTAGTCTAAATTTTAATAATGTGAACGATTGCTTCGTTGGTCAAGTCAATTTGTCTATTGGGTTGAGAATCGAAGTAAAATTCGGTTAGATCCCCAGCTTAATGCACCAGTATTGAAATTTAATGTCTACGAAATTGTTTGTCCTTGTCCAATATGAGCGCTTGTACTAGTCCAAACTATAGATGATGCACTTCTAAAATAAAATTCTAAATGTCTCGAATAGTGATGGTTGCAACGGATTCAGCTTCCACCCATTTAGTGAAGTAGTTAACAGTCACGATTGAAAACCTCCTTTGACCATTTGTTGGTATGAAAAGACCATTGATGTCAATTCCCCATTGAGCGAATGGCTACGGGTTGTTAAGGTACTATAAGTCAATGGCGGGCTTATGGGGTACATTGGTGTGGCATTGGCATCAATCACACCTTGGACCAATCAAACCATGCCTTCCTATATAGTGGGATAGTAGCCTTGTTGAAGTGCTTTTTGAGTCAGTGACTTACTCCCCAAGTGTTCACCGCATATTCCTTTGTGGATCTCTCTAAGCAAGTACTCTGCCTTGGTAGGTCTCAAAGACATCAAAAGTAGGGTATAGTAAACCACTTTCGGTACATTTGATTGCCAATGATGATGTAGTGACGGACATATCTGCACTCAATATTTTGGGCTTCACCTCGATCAGTGGATTTCCATGGCACAAATACTCCATGATGGGATTGATCTACCTTGGCTCTATCATCTATATCAGTGTTACTTTGACCTCTGCCACTTTATCTACATTAGGGTGTGGCAGGTCTTCAATGTGAACCATTCTCCGAATGTTGTCCACGAAAGTGCGTTCTTGAATCTCTGGATTTGCTAGATGGTGGACAAGTCGAATTACTGTGAGAGCTCCCTTACCTTTGCCAAATACTTGATCATCGCTGGCTCCCCGAGCTTCGTACCATTTGTTGACTTCGTTGACAATGAGCTGTGAGTCATTGTAAACCTCGATGTTTTTTCATGCTAAACTCCTTATCCGGGGACAACCTGGCTACCAACGCTTCATACTCAAGCTTCACTTCGTCAGGACCTAGCAAGATCAATCTGGATCCACTACCTTTTTATGGTTGGATGAGACGTTTACGTGGGGGATCCAAGGTTATTATTCTGTATTGGATGAAGATTCCATGCTTATGGATGCCTCCAACTTAACTGGTGGTTCGTCCAGTTCCAATGTCATCGAGTTAAATGTTTTAGTGGTGAAGTCAACTAAGACTTGAGACTTGATAGCTAGTCGTGGCTCGAATCGAATGTCGGATTTGTTGAGTTCGACAGCCCATTTGGAGAGTCTCCCCAACACTTCAAGTTCTTGCATAACTTAATGCAACAGCTAGTCAATGAGCACAACGAATCGACGATTGTATGGGCTTAGAAGTATTGTCGTAGCTTCCAAACATATATTATTAAAGTGAAGGCAAGCTTCTCAATCTGGTTGTATATCCATGCAAGGTTTTGCTTATGTAGTAAACAAATCACTACACTTTTTCTACAGTATAGACCAGTACCAAACTAACAACTTCGTCACTGGCAGATAGATACAAAGGGAGTTCATCTCCGGGCTTGGGTCTTGTCAATAATAGAGGTGAGCTAAGGTATTTGTCTAGTTCGTCAAACATATACTACCATTACTCAGTCCAATGTAACTTTTTTGCCTTCTTGCTTGCTTAGAAAAAAGGGTAGACATCTTCCCACCAACATGGACATGAAGTCGTTAAGCATTGCAACTCAGCTGGTGAGTATTTGAACTTCCTTGATTGACCTCAATAGTTGCATATCCATGATTGTCTGGATCTTCTCGGAATGGACTTCAATGCCACGTGGAGTTAACATGTAACTAAGAAAATATCCTAATGTAATGCCGAACACACACTTGTTCGACTTGAGCTTCAATTGGTATTTTCGCAATACCTTAAACACTTTGGTTAGGTCAGCTATACATGAGCTAGAAGTCTTACTAGGGGTGATCATGGGCTAGGCCGGACTTTGCACTTATGATAAGGACTATAGTTTAGGCCCGGGCCTAGCCCGGCCTGAGGTTCCAAGCCTAAAACATAAGCCCTAGCCCAAGTCTGTATGGGCTTGGGCCTGATTTCGGGACAATATCACTCCTATATAAAACATTGCATATCTATATATTAAATGACATAACATGCATATGAACTTATTTTATACATTATATAATATAAAATATTACATATAGTATAAATTATAAATGTAATGTTATAATATTTATATATAAAATATATAATATAATGTAAAATAACATGCATACATTATACAAAAAATGTATGTGGGCTGGGTCGGGCCGGGCTTGAAATATTAAGCCCAAGTCTGACCCTAAAATTTGCGGGCCTGATGTGAGCCCGGGCTCAGGTCGGGCCTGAACACAAAACCCAGGCCCAAGGGGCCGGGATGAAATGATCACCTCTAAGTCTTACTCTTAGATACCGTGTCATCCACATAAACTTCAATATTTGTTCCAATTAAAATTTTGAAAGTAAAGTTTACAAGACGTTGGGTATGTCGCCCCAACATCTTAAGGCCAAAGGGCATGACTCTATAATAGTACAACCTAGCCTTGGTGACAAAATTGGTTTTTTCTTGGTCTAAAGGGTTTATCTGGATCTGGTTGTAGTCCAGAAATGGCATCCATGAATCTTAGCAGCTTGAATATCGATGTGGAGTCTACTAGTCGATCTATCCGCAGGTGTGGGAAGTTATCCTTCGAGCATACTTTGTTTAAGCCAGTGTAATCAACGCATAGTCACCACTTCCCATTCACCTTTTTTTTACGAGTACCATGTTGGCTATACAATCCAAGTACTTAAACTCTTAAATGAAATCGGCATTTAGGAGCTTCCCAACCTCCTCATCAATGGTCCTCCATTTGTATGGGGTGAAGTTCATTTTTTTTCCTAATTCACATGTTAATTCAGTTATGATGGGGTCCTAAAAAAGCAACATGATCTACACTTTCTCCTTATGATCGATCACAAATATAGGAATTGAGACGATTGCCCTACAGGCTATCCTCTATTATCATTGATCAGTAGGTCAAGGTCAACTGCTAGTGATTGATTCCCTTTTCCTTTCAGTGTCACCGCATATCACTTTCTTTATTTGATATGATACCCTTAAACTACACCAATCCCTCTCAGTTGGGAACTTCATGGTAAGTAGACCTGTTCATGGGGGCCACCCGGCCCGACCCGACCCCCGGACGGGCTTGAATAGGCTTTTTGGCCCGCGGGCCTAACCTCGGGCCAAAAAGCCCGACCCGCATAAAATTCGAGCTGGGCTCGGGTTTTGCCAAAATAGCCTGGCCCGACCTATAGTTAAACCTAAGTAAACCCGACCCAACCTATAGTTAAACCTATGTGATGTCCATTTGAATAATTTTTTTGATTTGAGAAGGTTGTTGATTCACTTGTAGGCCCATTGTTCATTTAAATGGGGGAAAAAACATTTGAATTAAAATAGATAATGTCTATTTGAATAGGGAAAATTTTGATTTTTTTATTAGGTCGGGCTTCGGGCTTTTTATCAGGGCCAGGCTCGGGCCCAAGTTGTAGGCCCGTTGGTCGGGCTGGGCTCGGGCCTAACATTTTTCTGTTAATAAAGAGTCAAAGCCCGGCCCATGAACAGGTCAGATGGTAAGGTAGTAAGTCAACACAACGGCTCAGCTGGCATGTAGAAAAGGGGCAGCCCAGGATTACATTGTAGGGCAATGGTGATTCAACTACCAAGGATTCTATCATCATATTTAGAGGTGAGCATGGGCTAGCTCGGTATGGTTCCATGGTAGAACCTAGAACCAGGGTATGGCCTTAGGGGTGCAGGGTAACCGAACCATGGGGTATTTTTTCAAACCGAACCAACCTGATCAATTTTTTAAATATCTAAATCGAAGATGCATCGGTTGACCGGTTAACCGTGGTTCGGTTTTTTTATGCACTTAAAATAAAAAAAAAAAACTAAAATTGTTAGTGGTTGTTGTCGGTGTCAGATTTTTTCATGAAGATGGTGGTTACTGTCGGTGCCGGACTGGTTGGTGCCGATGGTTGTTGTCAAGTGTCGACTATCGCCTGAAGTGAGAACTTGAAACTTGAGAGGTGGCGCTTGGCAGAGGCGCGAAGAGGAGTGGTGAGAGAAGGAAAGTGAAGATAGATGAAAGTCTGTTCAATGGGCTTGGTGCTACCGTGCTGGTGGTTGGCGTTGGACCGTTCGTGCTTGCTTGCCAGTGAGGCGGCGACCGGCATTGCCGCTAGGTGCTGTCGTGCTGGTAGTTGGCGCGGGCCGTGTGACGGTCTGGAGTGGGGATTGGGGAATACGAATAGTACAAGAATAACTGAATAAGAGTAAGAGAACTGGGAGAGTGAGAGAGACAAAAGAAAAAAGTAGAAATCTAAGAGACTGGGAGAGACAAAAATAACGATGGAGACTAGCAGTCTGGGGAAAAGATAAAAGATAAAACCGATGGGCAATGGAAACTATCAAACTGGCAATCTGGCACTGCCGAACTTTCAATTGAAAGGTTCAAAATTCAAAGAGAAAGGCTAAAAATATCTCAGACTGCCAAACCCTTTTATTTGAATTAAAAAAATATATAATTATATC